TATATATATATATATATATATATATATATATATATATATAGTATATATGTATATATACATATACACATATATACTATATACAATATACATATACATATACATATGTAACATAAATATAAATTGTTATGATTGGCTCAAATATGATTTTAGCTTTTCATTAAAAAAAGTATCCTTTTCTATATTTTATGCCGAGCAGGAAGTTGTTATTGGAGATCTGAAGCCAGGGACTCTCCATAGTGTCAGCATAGGAGCTTATGGCTGGGCAGGAAGAGGCAGAGCCAGCATGCCTAGAAATGTGACAACTCTATCACAAGGTAAATATTATTTGAATAGCTTTCTATTAAGTGTGCTGATTGAAACACAGTTAACTGTAGATATTGTAAGTCAGGGGTGTCGAACTCAATTTCATTGGGGGTCACATCAGGGCTGTGGTTGACCTCGAGGGACCAGGCTAGCTTGACGCCACTCACTGGGTGTGGCCAGCTGGGTTGGCATGGCCAGCTTGAAGCCACTTCCCAAACTGTTAGCATGTTTCCTCTTTGCATTGGGTAGACCAGGCCGAAGCAATGCGGGTATACTAGGCCAAAATGATGCAGGCTGACCCCTTACACTTTCCAGGATGAGCCCACGGGCCAGATCTGACCAAATACTGGGCCGGATTTGACAACCCTGCTGAAAAGGTATTTCAGAAAGGTACATGGGACATTAGGATAATTTCAATGCAGTGCAGAAATAGGAATGAATTATGGGAATTTCAAAGGAGACAGGATGCAGTTACAATTGCAAAAAAGAATGATGAGGATTATTAAGGAGTCAAAGGAATAAATTTATTATGATATAATTTAGTATGCTTTATTGGTGCCAGTATGGATCTTTTCAAAACTCTTCCCAAGGGCATTTGGAAATTAATTTATTTTAAAACATGGCTTCTTCTGGGCCATAACTATATCAATTTATTCAGAGCAACACTTTCATCTTTTAAGTATTTCCCCCCCATGAAAGGGGAAAAATGGTGGGATTTTCTATATCGAATAGCAGCGACTCTCCTGAGATTGAAGCAAGGATGGGTAGAAAGTCCAGTTTTTGATTATCTTTAGCATTACAATTTTATCAAAGGTTTTGCTTCTGTAAGCAGTTCTGAGTTTTCCAAAGGGTCCAATAATGTATATAATTTCTTTCTTCTCTCTTAGATAAATGTATGCCACCAGCTCCACCTAGTCAGCCTCAAGTCATTGTTGTTTCAGATTCAGAAGTTGCTTTATCATGGAAACCAGGACCAAGTGAAGGAGGTTCTCCAATTGAGTACTACACAGTGGAATTTATCAGGTGATCTTGACTATGGCATTTGTATGTGAGCACATTTTTCAGATATGTGGGTTCACATTTGTTTCAATCCAGTGGTCAAATTAACTTTTTTTTGCCACTGGTTCTGTGGGTGTGGCTTGGGGGAGAGTCATGTGACTGGGTGGGCATGGCCAACTTTTTTTCACTTTTTAAAGCATTTTTTTTTCCTGCTGGTTATTTGGGCAAATAAGCAGGGAAAAATGCTTTAAAAAGTGGTGGTGGGGAAGCTTCTGCCAATCGCATGAATCAGCTGTGAGCTGCGCAATCCTCGGAAGCTTTTTTTTTAACTACCAGTTCGCAGAACCAACGACAATCGTCCCTACCGGTTCAGCTGAACTAGGCCAAACCAGGCGGATTTCACCCCTGTTTCAATCGGATGTCATTAATGTAAGTGAAACTGGTTCTTATTTATTCATTAGTTTAAATGGCTTTGATTCAGCACAGTTTCAGAGTTCCTTTTGGGTTTTCGACCAAATCAGTCTTGCTTCTTCTTTGTGGTTTATGAAACACACTTACGATACACACTGGACCTCTACAGTAGCTCATGCAGAGATCTCCAAAGCTCTACTCTTTCTGTTACAATGCAATATGGAAAGGTGGGCTTCTATTTAACCCTAACTCATTTCTGAACCATCTCTTAACTGTTACGGTACTATAGAATTTTCTCTCTCTTCTACTTTATTTATTTAACTCTGTTAATAAACCCAACTCTAGTGGACTCCGCTTAAGGATGGATCAGTTGGGTATATAGAAAATTCCCATGTAAATGCGTACTTGTATTTGATGTTAATTGTGTTAAGTGGCTTGTTCCACTGATGGGATGTTCTCTGTAACACTAGTGGATGAGATCTTTTGTCTTGAGTAAATTTCTGTTTTCTGATCATTGTAGGAATGCCTGTTTTAACACCAGTGTCAGCCAATCAGTCCCATTCCTTCTTTAGTGGCAATTAAAAATTAAAAAAGTATAAAATGTAGGCAGATTTTTTTAATTTTTAATTAAGAATGCCTGGTTTCATCCATTTTTTTTAATTAAATGTGTTAATTAGATTTATTAGTGACTTAAATTGTTTCATTATGTTTGTTCTGGAAAGTTGGGGTAGTTATATGGTTTTCTTCAGTTCTATGCTCTTCAGCTGGCTATATGTTCTGCAGGTGAATTTAGCTGAGCTATTTTCAGTTTTTTTGTTTGTGTATCAGTTTTGCTGAAAACCTGAAATGTCAGTTTTTAGCAAAACCATCACAAAACATAGTTATATAACCATGGAGTGTTGCAAATGGCCATAAATGTGGCCATGTTGTCAAACACCTGATGTCTGAGATCCGACCATTGGAATGTTGAATCCCCACAGTGGTGGATTGCTAATCCCGTTCCAACCGGTACGGTAGGAACGGGGCTAGCGGCGTTCTCATGCACGGGCGCAGTTCATGCATGCGTCTTAGCGCCTGCGCAATGCTCCAGCTGCTCGCGGAGAATTGCTCAGGCGCCGTATGTGCCATGCACCTGTGTGGAAGCGCAGAAGCGTTTAAAGACCGGTAAGGACCGAGGGCGGGCGGATGGGCCTTTTGGCGTTTCCGGAAGTTACTAACTTTCAGGTTCACCGACCAACTGGTCCGCGCGGACCACTGCGGACCAGTTGAAACTCACCCCTGAATCCCCATCTTGTAAGTAGCCCCAAGGTAGGTCTGTCATAACTTCAAAGAGTCACTCAGTGACCAGTTTATACATCAACGGATACCTGTATTGCTATCTTTTCAGGAGTGGGCTTCAAAAATTTTAGCATGGTGTTCTCTGCCTGGTTGCTGGAGTGTGTGGCCATGGTGGGCGTGGCGTAGTTGGCCTCATGCACCACAGTTTGGGGGGGGGGTTGCTCTCCCTGGGCTCCAGAGGCTTTTCTCAAGCCTCCAGAAGGGTGAAAATGGCTCTGGAGGCCCTCTGGAAGCCAGAAATGAGACCGTTTCCGGCTTTCCAGAACTTCCGGTAGGTCCATTTTTGCCCTCCCTGAGCCTCCACATGCGCCCTGCACTTACCTGCATCCAAAACGGGCCTGGGGGGAGGAGTGGGCGGGGCAAGCCAGGAGTGGGATTTGGGGGTTCTCTAAACTGCACAGAATCTTAGCTAGAGGTTCTCCCGAACCCCTATGGACCCCCAGTAGCCCACCCCTTTGCACATCACTTAAAGTCACGTGTGGCCATTGGACTAAAGAAAGTTGTATAGTCCTGCCCAAGAGCATACTTGAACTTCCAAAACTTCCTTATATCTGTGTAAGGATCAAGTACGAGGAGGGAGAATGCAGAAACCTATGACAGAATTCTTGCCTATGTTATCCTTCTCTTTTTCACATTTTGCTTATAGCAGGGAAATTCATATGAATGCCAAAGTATTGTAACTGAGTTGCATTGTGCAATTGCCATTGTAGGTTCCTCTTGCCAGGAGGGAATTTTTGTAGCTTGTTTGGTGTCATGCCTAAACTGGAATCCTCTAGGATTGTTGGTTCCTTGGGAGTCAAGAAGGATTCAGAATTGAAAGCCTATGTTCGCTTATTCTTTCCCAATTCGGCAGGGTTGTTCATATGCTCAGTATGATTTAAAGAATAGAGGTTTTTAATAGTGAAAAGAAATAAATCACAATCATCTATGACATGAAGAGAACTATTCAAAGAGTTTAAAGAAAGGGAACAGACTTTTTAAATTACAAGAAACAGAAGAGTCCCTTGTGGTTTGGATCAACAACTGAGTAGTTGAATAGTTAAGTGGCCCTTAGCGGATTTGTTAGGATTTCTTAAATCCTAACATCCTAATTCTTAAATTTCTTTAAGAAAAGGAAGACAATATTTTACCGTTGAGTCACTTTTGTTAGTCTGTTTTACAGAGATTTAGGGATGCAATTATTTACAAAAAAATACTTTTTGTTGTCTCCTCTAGCTGGAGAAATTGGTTTCTCAAGTTCACAGAACTGGACAAAGCTGAAACAAACAGTTCCAAACTGCTCTTTTTTTGATTTCAGAGAACGCCCTTCTTGCTCAATAGAAATGACCTTCAGATGATTAAATCATTTTTATATTGACTGATTAGAAAATGTCAGATGAGTCTATTTTGACAGCATCACTGCTGGGCTACAAATAATACGAACCAACAAACAAAATATCTCTCCCGTGCTGCAGTTTTTATTAGAGTGCTTCCAAAAATGTTTGCAGCTGCTTTCTTATGTAAACAATAATACATTTAAAACTTGAAAAGTTATTTCCTGCTGTAAATATTTCAAGGATGCCAGACTAAACGGGACAGCAATTTAGTCTTATGTGTCAAAGTCTTTCAGTCTCTGTTATGTTCAGCCATTTCCGTAGGAACGACTTTAGAAAATTCAAGGGAGTAAAAATTGTCATTTATATTGAACAGTGTAGGACTGATACCATGGGGAAAAGGGCAACCACTTCTCTCTATTTATCCCTGTAATGCTGAGTGCTCAGCACTGCTAGAATGTTCACATATCAATAATTTTGTTTTCCCTCTGCAAGCATCCAGCAAGTTTGACTCCTATATCTTTTGGGTCTGCTTTTGATCTAGCCTTTTTTCTCGACACTGCAATGTAAAATATAGAGTTGTGCAAGCCAAGGAAAGCTGTAGCATAACTTCTTGTTGGTTGGAGTGAGAATATAGCCGGTGAACTAAAGATACCCTGACATAAAAGTCACTGGAGAAGACATGGCCACTTATTCATCACTGGAGGACAGAAATGTTTCCCTAAAAAAAAAAACTAATTAAAAAATTCCTCATATGAAAATTACCATGATAATGCAATTTTAGCATTTTTATTCTCTTCCATGTTACTGTAATTACATTGTTGCCTGCATTGAAGCAGAGCTATTTTAAATTGCTTTGATAAGTTTAAAAATAATAGCTATAACTTAAATAGACAAAATATTCTCTTGAATGGCTATATAAACGTGTTTAATCTTCCTAATTGGATCTTGCCAATCATCTTGTCAATCAAATCAGGATTTGGGTTTGGCTAGTCTAGAGAAAAGAAGGACTAGGAGGAACACAATAGCAGCATTCCAGTATTTGAGAGGCTGCCACAAAGAGGAAGGGGGTCAATTTATTTTTTAAAACACCAGAGGGCAAGACAAGCTCTCTCCCCCCGCCCATCAGCATCATGCTTGCCCCACCCACCACTCACTGATTGGCTGGCTCACCACTCACCATGCCCGCCTCTAAGAGTCCTATCTAAACCTTAAAGTCTTAAAGCTGTCAAGTTTGAACACCCCTGGGTTTTTTTTCCTAAAAGGTTAGGGGTGCAAGGGTCTTGTAACAACAGCTTTAAGTCTTGCGTGCTTTAAATGCCAGAGTTTCTGAGCCAACATTTTGGCTGCTAAGCAAGAGCATTGTTAAGTGAGTTTCATCACATTTTACAAGTTGGCCACGCCCACCCAGTCACATGGCTGGCAAGCCACTCCCACTCGGTCACATGGCTGGCAAGCCACTCCCACTCAGTCACATGGCTGGCAAGTCACTCCCACCCAATCACATGGCTGGCAAACCCTTCCCACAAAGCAGGCCACACCTAAGAAGAGATTCTAACAAATTTTGAAACCCACCACTGTCAAACTGTATTGACTTGCTTTGATATCAAACTTTCAAAGGAATATTAATATTAGTATTTGACTTTGTTGGCATGTAGAGGTTTATGATAGCTGTCATATTTGGTAGCTCATTGGACCTTTCTCTCATTAGCTAGCAATCATTCTGTTAGTTTGCCACAAATGAAGTTGCAAAGCAATACCTTTCCATCAGCTTGGTGGAGAAAGGCAGAGCCCTTCCTTTTCTTGATATGTTTCCATTCCATATGACCAACATAACAGGAGTGTTGACTTGGCCTTTGAGTGGCACTTTGCTCCCAACAGTACACGGGACAGGCAAAAAGAGGTTAATGACTAGGGACATTAAAGATATTTAAGTTAATTAATTTTCAAATGTAATTTATATCAAATTAATTCAATAGAGTTAAACATGATTTTGCCCCATACGTTTACTTTTTTTCTTCTGTTACATAAAAATGGTACTTTGTCATGCTTTATTTAAGAGTTTTTGGAAATGCATTTAAAAAAATACTGATGTCTGTGTTATGATAACTATTGTAAGCACTGATGCCCAGAGCCTCCTCTTTTCTCCTTTCTGTTCCTTTTTCTTTTTCTGTTGGCTCATTTTAGTTTTAGGTCTGTGGGCAGGAACTGCCTTATTGTACTGATTGCATGCAAATTGCTCTGAGAGCCCTTTCAGATGGTGCATGGGTTATCAATGTTTTAGATAAATAACTCTTCTGTGGTGGTTGTTCCTGTTGTTGTTTTGCACAAAGTAGGAATGGGATTCTGAGGTTTAATTTTTGATGCTTACCAAAATCAAAACAATCAGGAGACACTCGATATTGGCAAATGTTTGGCTCTTGCTAATTGACTTAGCTCACTTTAATTACGTTTTGGGCTCTTTGTTCATCCCAATCAGGCCCGATTTTGATACCGATTGGACAGCAATTAGAGAGCAGATCCAGATGGACTCTATGATCCTGAAGGGGTTAACTCCAAACGACAAGTATCAGTTTGCCATCCGAGCTACAAATTCATACGGATCCAGTCTGCCAAGCATTGCCAGTGATATAATCAGAATGTTCCGTGAGTAGACAACTTTACTTAGATTGCTACTTGACTATTTTTTTTAAAATCAACTTTCCCTGCTCCTTTCATTGACTCAACATCTGAGTTCTGGAAAAGTCAAACATCCGTATAATTCAAGAAAATCCAAGCCCCCTCCTTCTTTCACTACATAACTATATTTCATAGTTAAGTCTTATGGGAAACCATAATCAGTGGTTGGATTCAGCCAGTTCGTACCTATTCGGGAGAACCAGTTGTTAACTTTCTAAGCCAGGGGTGTACAAACTTAGGAACTTTATGGACTTCAACTCTGAGAATTCTGGGAGTTGAAGTCCCCAAGTCTTAAAGTTCCCAAGTTTGGACACCCCTGTTCTAAGCAGTTCAGAGAACCGGTTGTTGAAAGAAATCTCACTTTGTTTTTTTCCATTTCACATGGCTAATCCTGTAAGGAAGGCATGAAGGAAATATTCTGTGTTGTTTTTAGCCTAATCTTTATTGCTCTGCTTACAGAAACTGCCTCTCCGGTTAACCCTTATTACATTCTAATAGTTAAGACAAAGCGCCCATTGATGTGAGTGACATTGAGTTGGCCACGCCCACCCAGTCATATGAGCTTTGAGCCACACCTACTGGGCTGGTCATTAGCTCAGAGAACTGGTTGTTAAATTATTTGAATTCCACCACTGACAATAACTGTTTGCTGGAACATACTAAATATTGCATAGGTTCCATTATAATGATTCTTTAGAAATAAAAGATAAAATAAAAGCAAGTTTCCAAATAATTAGAGTTGTAGCATTAAGAATCTGCTCTCTTTTGTGTCTTGTCATTTATACTAGGTTTTTTTTTTTAATCCAAACCTTCTTTCAATTAATTTCTTTATCATTTTCCTTTTTATTTCCTTTGCTTTTGTTCTGGTATCATTAGACCAGGTCTCATAATATAATAAATTGTTTTGATTATTTTGGTTTCTTGTGCTTAAATTTAACTTTCAAAGAGAATGTTTATGGAAACCTCCTAAAGATATAATAGTCATTTATAGTTTTGGCCTGAAGGTCATTAATCCTTGTAACTGGGTGCACATTTTTTTCTGACATCCTGTTTATCTGTGGATGAAAATATTTTAAGAACTTTCACAACTAAGGGCGAGATGTTTGATGTACTACAGTTGGTAGGCTATTTTCTAAAGCAAGGAAACAATGGTTGATGGTTCCCACAATGTTGATTTGTTACTGAAAAATCCAGTGTAACCTTCATCACCCTTTCCCTGAACCAATCCACTTGAGGGATCAGAGAAGCAGATTTGATTCACAGTGACTGGTGTTGCGCAGAATAATGGGCAACTAAGAAGTTTAATCTGCCCTGGTGACATTTCTACTTCAATCCTTCTTAAAGAGATTATTAATTCCCATTTATTCCTATAGAAAGGGACACGATGGCTCAGTGACTAAGAGGCTGAGCTTGTCAATCAGAAAGGTCGGCAATTAGGCTGTTTGAATCCCTAGTGCCGCGTAACAGAGTGAGCTCCCGTTACTTATTCCAGCTTCTGCCAACCTAGCAATTCGAAAGCACGTAAAAAATGCAAGTAGAAAAATAGGGGCCACCTTTGATGGGAAGGTAACAGTGTTCCGTGTGCCTTCAGTGTTTAGTCATGCCAGCCACATGACCATGGAGATGTCTTCAGACAGCACTGGCTCTTCGGCTTTGAAACGGAGATGAGCATCAGGAATGACTAGCACATATGTGTGAGGGGAACCTTTACCTTTATCAATGCTTTGGAGAATAGTAACAATCACCTTTGGAAACTTGGCTAACAAAGAAGGAAAAAACTGCAATTCACCAGTTATTCTGTTTTATTCAATCTTTAGCATAAGGGGAACATGAGTGCATAACAATATCTATATTCAAATTTTAAAAAGCCCTTAATATTTACAATATGAACGTTCAGCCTTGCTGTATCATTCCATCATGATAAATGGCATTTTTCAAATAATAATAGCAATGAAAGTAAAATACTTTGGTGAGCACACTTTCTACGATATGGCATAAACTTTTATTTGGTGACAGATGCTACAGGACATGTAAACAGTAGGGCTGTTACACATATCCAGTGGTTTCGTAAAATTAATTAGTAACACTAATGTTTCCACTCCCAAGGCCAACAAGTTAGTCACTGGACGTTGAAACACTTCTTTTCATTTTGTTATAGCCATTAGACAGAATCTCCTTGTGTAGACCAAGAATTGAACTACTTTTCAAATATGACTAACTTCTGGTATTAACTCTTTCATAAGGTGGCTTTATTTCAGTTCTTGAACTGAATTGCCACCTAAATTAGCAACAGCAAAAGGCTTGACCGGGTTCTTACTTGTTAGAATTCGATTGATTAACCTAGAGGTCAGCAACCTGCGGCTCTGGAGCCGCATGTGGCTCTTTTATCCCTTTGCTGCGTCTCCCTGTTGCCGGTCAGCTCCACCATTGATAGGGCTTTTAGTTAGGACAGGTAGGGGAAAAAGGATGCCGTGCTAGGAGGAGACTCTATGGTGGGAGACACGGACTTCCAGTCGGCTCCAGAATTGAATGCGACTTCCGGTTAGGACCCTTGTGTCTCTTTGAGTGTTTAAGGTTGCCAACCCCTGGATTAACCTAACCTTTTATAGTTGTTAGAATGGATGTTTTTTCCCCTCAATACCTTCGGTAGAGCCTCTCCCCTCCCCATCCTTAATTATGGCTACAGGACTACACAGATGGAGGTGTGTCTTAAAAGTGCTAATATTCATTGCACAATGAAGATCTGTACAAAAATAAATTTCAGTGAGCTATGGGATGTCCTTCATGGCACTTTTAAAACATTTGATAATTCAAGGATGAAATACACTTCCCTAGGATTGCTCTGTTAGGCTCATAAAATATTTGTAATATTGGGAATGCAATATATATCCATTTTAAAGGATCAGCTTTAAAGAAAACCACAAAATAACAGAACTGAAAAAGGAGAGGAAAATACAAAAAGCCATTTTAAATAATGTTGATGATGATGATGATGATGATGATGATGATGATGATGATGATGATGATGATGATGATGATGATAACAACAACTACTACTACTACTAGAAAAAATAATGAAATATTGCAACCTGGCCATCAAAACTACACGGCTATGGATGAAGCATGTAACAGTTTATAAATTTATCAGACTTGGACATTCTGATACTACAAATAAACCCACCCTACTTGGAACAGCTTATATCCTCCAACAGTTCCTAGGTCCTTGGTTAGGACTCGAGCTGTTGAACTACCAACCAGCTCCAAAGGCTGTGAATCTCACCAAAGATTAACCAATAATAATAATATAAAGGAGGCAAACAGGTAAAAACTTGTATTTTAATAAAGCACAAAAATTAACACAATCTTTGCCTTTATCCACAAACTGGATAAGGGTAAAGTGCCAATTTTTTACAATTAATCACTGCATAAATGCTAAGCCAATATTTTTGATATCAGAGACCAGTTTCGTGGAATATAATTTTTGCACAAATTGGGGTGGAGGTGGTTTTGGTTTCACTTGCAAGCTCACCACTCGCCTCCAGCTATGCAGCCTGGTTCTTAACAGGCCACAGACCTTTACCGGTCCGGGGTTGGGGATCCCTGCCCTAAGCTATTGTAAAACAAGAAAATAAAGTGATTTATGATTTTCATGATTCATGAATTATATTCATATTCGGCAAAAAAAAAAAAATCAGAATTCTAATGTACAACTGTTACATCAGTGCCCAAAAGGATACGTTGAGTTGACTTTCATTTCGACTGTGTAAATCTCTTACTTGTTATAGACTAGAATAATTATTGTTTTCTGGAATCGTATCTGGAACTTCTTCTTTGTTCCCACAACTAAATTAATCGTCCCAGTGTTTGGTATTATGAGGTGAGAATTATGCATTATTTAGTGAAGCATGCAAACCAGCGTTTGCATTTCCTGCATCGGATGAGGAGAGCACATCTTTCTCCTTCTGTCCTGGCCACTTTTTACAGAGGCACGATTGAGAGCATTTTAACAAACTGCATCTGTGTTTGGTTTGGTGCCTCAGTGCCTCAGATAGAAAGTCCATACAGAGAGTGGTAAGGACAGCTGAGAAGCTCGCTTCCCATTATTCAGGATACTGCTTATAAGTGCTATGTGCTTAGAGCTGGAAGCATTGTTAGAGATCCCACACATCCACTTCACTGTCTTTTTCTTTTGCTCCCCTCTGGGAGGAAGGTTTGAAGTATCTAGAGCAGGACTACTAGATTCTGTATCATCTTTGTTCCTTTTGCCATCTATCTTGTAAACTTGCAGGATTCTCCCCCTCCCCCTCCCCAGCTGCCATATATATATGTGTATGTGTATGTGTATGTGTATGTGTATGTGTATGTGTATGTGTATGTGTATGTGTATGTGTATGTGTATGTGTATGTG